GTTCTGTAGTCACAGGCGAACACAGGGCATCCCACTTCGTAATAGGATTGTCTTTGCAGGCCTTGTCTATACTGATGTTGGTGCATTAATCTGATGCATCAGGCTGTAGATCGTTTTCAATCTTCTTCCCATCGGGATTTCTGCTGGAGACTTTTGCTCCGGTAACAACTCATTTGTTGTTCGATAGACGTACAAGAAATTTCGTAACGCATCGGCTGGTATCCCCTCCCCTTTTGGCTTAACCAATGCTCTTACAAACGTATCCACAAACCGTTCCGCTTGCCCATTCGATTGCGGGTGGTGTGGTGGCGAGCATAAGTGTTTAATAGCTAGCCGTTGACAAAAAGTTTGGAATTGTGTGGAGGTAAATTGAGACCCACTGTCAGATACGACCACATCTGGTATGCCATTTCGGGAGAAAATCTCAGTTAGGAGCTGTATAGTCTTAGTTGTAGTGGGCGGCATAACGGGGCTGATTTCTGGCAATTTTGAGAAGGCGTCGACGACAACTAAATACATATTTCCATTATTTGGACCAGCGAAGTCAACATTTATCCTGGACCAAGGATGCTCAGGTTTGGGCCATGAAACTGGCGGAATTTTGGCATTCATCTTTGCCGCCTGCTGACACCACGTGCATTTTTCAACCAACGCTGTGACATGTTGATCCATGTGAGGCCAGTGTGCATAACTCCTGAATATGGACTTCATTCATTTAACCCCAGGATGACCGAGATGGAACTGTCTCTGCACTTTTGCACGAAGGGATTCTGGCACCACTACTCTTTCACCAAACATCAAACAATCGTTCACGATGCATAGTGAATCTCGCCGCTGATACAGTTGCTTCATGTCACCATTAAACTTCGGCGGCTAACCGTTAGTGACATATTTCATCGTTATCTTGATGATGGGGTCGTTTCTAGAAGCAGACACCGGTAGTGAGTGAATTACGGTTGTCAGATAAAATTCAGCCTGGTCTTCCACTGACAGAAATGCAATTACCATATTTTCCTCAGCCGCCACCTGATCATTAATGAGTCGTGACAAAGCGACTGCCTGACCGAATTGTAGTTCGTCGATACTGGATTTCGAAATCATACCCCAAAAGCACCAAGGCTCATCGCTGAAGACGATTTGCAGAATGGGCTGGAATGCCAGATTTAGAACCGAATACTGCTAACCCGTATAGATTGATGACAACAAACTCACAACGATACTTCAACAAAATCAATCACAATCGATTGTCAGAGAATTTATAGATGTAGTAAGTAGTCCACTGAGAAGTGGCTAATCTTATTTCTGTGTTCAATACTTTATGAGTGAAATAACAAACACTTCTAACGATAAAATTACAATCTGCCCATCATCCAGTTTATTATATTTCGATTTGAAGTAGTTGGAGGCAGTCAACTGGAAACTAGGTTTCATGCTTATTAGTACTTGTCGGCAATACCTAATCCTTCCAATTTTCATTGGTTCTTCAGTTGAAATCATCATGAAAACTTACAGTAGTCCTAATAAAACTATTTAACACTATTATCATTGTTGAATTTACATAAAATAGGCAAAAATTCTCAATTAATGTTAAAATTTCAGAATATGTAAGATATATAAGATTCGGTTGATTAAAACTAAACGTTCTCTCTGCTGATCGAAATTTTTTAGGCTTATTGGTTCAGAGTTTAAGCATTCACGCACGCACCGGAAATCCTAGGTTCAATTCTAACTAGTACCGGGAGTCATGGATACACAACTGCTACTGATGAGTCTCATACCAGGATGAAACGGCTGTCCAGTAGTTTCAGGATTCTAATAGTAGTCTAACAATCGTTGACTCACTATTACAATAACATTTTCTGTCTATTTGTTAATCTATCCATCAATTTAGGTATCAGTCGATTGGTATTTGCAGAACAAGCAATCACTGGTATGACATCTGCTGAATCGGAATCTGTACCGTTCGTTACAAAAATTAATCCAGCTAAAGCAAAGGTAAAACAGACTGAAAAGAAAGAGATAAAATTAATTTGTAAACTTTGTAATTTATTCAAATAATAACTCTGTAAACAATTTAATGGTAATATATTTCAAAAAAAATTATGTGTCTATTATTGTTAGACCATCATTATAAACCTGGAATCATGCTGGACGGTCGCTTCGTCCCAGTATGAAACTCAACAGTGACAGTGCCCAGCCACGATGCCCTCTCACGGGAACCAAATCCAGGGTCTTCGATCTCGCGCGCGAACACTGAACCTCTGGATCACTGAGTTGGTGACATCCAATGGTGTTAATGTATAACTCCAATCAATCCAAGGTACTACACGACCTCATCCATTATCTCTGGTAGTTACTGCCTACACCCGACAGTGATGAGACCCACTGGTGACGTCTTCTCACTAGAAGTCCGAGAATTTCCTCGTGAAGTCTAGTCACTAATGAGCGCATAATGATGATAAACAACTATCTGCGCAACTCTATTATTTAAAATTTTCATCAATATAACTGAAAACTAATATTCTCAGTTAACTCAGGCAAAGAATCAATTATATTTGTCATAAAAAGATATGATTGAATAATCATACTTACCAGAAGATTCATAATACCGAACCGATTTCATTTTTTAGCTTTTATAACAACACATCATTCTGTTATGATATAAATAATAACAGAGAAATCTCAATCTTACTGAGTTCATTTTACTACTTGTCAAAACTCTATTCCATCATCTCATATCAAGCATTCGTCTGTATTTTCTTTTGCATATATAAATATTGTTCAGGATTAGTCTGACTGAAATATTAATTACCCTTGATTTGTTGAAACTCAACTCCAAACTATAAATGTTCTTAGTGTTGTTTAAAGTGATATACTGTAACTCTGAAATGGATCCCTGAGTTAATTAGCTTTCAATATTGTTCTGAATTACATAATCAGCACCCGAATCCAAGTGTAATCTTCTAGTGTTCTAGTGTATAATCAGACTTTACCAAGTAAGGCTTTATAATTTCTCAACAACATCTATTTTCAACAACACAAACACAAATAGTTCTGATAAGGAAGAGCAAAAACAATTCAATCCATCGATACTTTCTATTCACGGTCTTGCAGATGTGTGTAAGTGCTATGATTCAAACAAAATGTTTGGTCAAGAAATAATACAAGTTATAATACTCAATGACAGTGATATTCATTCCATTTTAAACTATTTTGATTAAATAAAAATCATGTATACTTTTTTTGTCTAATTTAATTTTGTTGACAATTTACATTGAAGTAATAATAATTCAAATATATCCATGTTTTCTTTGTTCTAGGGTATGGTTGAAAAATGGTTATTAGAAGTTGAAGATGTTATGTTAAACAGTTTAAAAAAAGTAATTGCCGACAGTGTTCATGCATATCCTGATACTTTAAGAAAAAAATGGGTATTAGATTGGCCAGGTCAAGTAAGTTTCTTATTAGAATATTACTATTAGTATTATTATCTATTAAAATCATGAACTGATCAGTGTTAGACCAACATTAGAAACTTGCAAGCACTGGACGGCCGTTTCATCCTAGTATGGTATTCATCAACAAAGCACACACACGACTCTACTCGCAGGAATCGAGTCCAGGACCTTCGGTCTCACGCGAGAACGCTTAATCTCTAGATAAATAAGCCGGTATCTAATGGTGTTAATGTCTAACTTCAGTCGATCCACGATATTGTGCAATCTCACCCATTGTCCTCGGTAGGTAACTGCCGACGCCTAACACAGTCGAACTCCACTAGCCATGGCTTCTCATTCGCTCTCAGAGAATCGCCTGACAAAGCTAGTCACCAGTGAACACATTTTATGATATTTTCTTCTTCATAGAGTTATGGAGATTGTTGTTTTCCATCGAAATCATAAATCCAGCATTGTTAGATTACCATTAGAAACCTAGATGAACAGGAAAGGCGTTTCATCTCAGTATGGGATTCATCAGCAGTGATGGTCTAACAATGATTGATCTATGATTTCATTGAAAAATAACAATCTCCATGACTCGATAATGAATATTACAACTATTACTATCAACAACATTTTAGTTTTTTCTCATTGTATACTTTTTTATCTCGTAATGAATACAACAAATAACCTAGCATAGAGGATAACAGATAAATAACCTGCATCATAAAACAAGTAATCTCTTTAATAGATATAATGTGATAAGAAGACGAAGATTATCAGCCCGTAAAGATATATCCCACATCCTATTGTATATATCAATTTAAATATTTATTTGGAAACATGTATTTGCAAGTGAGAGTGGCAAAACACATACCTACATGGCAACGAACGCAAATAAATTCCAAAAGTCAAATAAAATAAAGTGATAGACAGATATCTTCCTTCATCGCCAAACATGTGGTTGAAACTGATCATAAGTTTGATATCAAATCGGCCTCGGTAATAATGTGTACAAAAGTATTCGACGGCATATAATAAAAGTTTATGAAAGTCTTAGAGTCATATGAAAATTGAATCCTCCTCTATATTTTCAAAAACAGTTTGTCCTTATCAATTGAAAGCATAAACCACTCATTGTCATACCACCAGCAGAAACCTGCAGGTACTGGACAGCCGTTCTGTCCTAATGTAGGACCCCCCTACTCCCGGAAATTGAACCCAGGACCTTCGGTCTCGCGCGTGAACGCCTAACCTATCTTGGTATTACTAATTTCACATTGTGTACTTTATTATTAGCTTTGTTTCCTCTCACCTTCATTTGTATAAAGCCTTAACAAGTAAATGTGTGCTCCGATCGCTTGAAATACTATAACATAATTATGATCATTTTTATCTTAATCAATCAAAGATTTGTCAGATTGAATGAAATTTTTCAAACAGTGATTAGAATCAGTTTAATCGGTGACTGATATGAAATTTCCAATGTTTTCACTATTATATTGTTGTTATATATGCATATTTTGTGTATTTGTTACTGTATTCCAATGATTTCCATAGGTTGTTATTTGTGTATCATGTATTTATTGGACAAAAGAAGTACAAGAATCTATTGAAAATAATCAATTAACTGAATATAATAAAAAATGTAATGAACAAATCGATGATATTGTAAGATTAGTCAGAGGAAAATTAACTAGTGGTGAACGAATCACATTAGGTGCACTTACAGTGATTGATGTACATGGTAAGTAAGTAAATAAACACAGTGTTATGTAAAGCATATTTTCTAAAATACATTTAGTTAATCAGTCAGCTACAACGTAGAACTTGGTATGTATGGATATCAGTTCAAGTTGCCATACCACATTGGCACAGAGAGATCGAATTTTCAATTCAAATCCCATAGCGGTAGAGGCAGTACAAGTATTAACGGTAATGGAGAAGATTTTGGGCCACATCATTCAAATTCTCCAACTATCGGTTACTTATGGTCTTGCGGACCCCAACCTGGTAGTCCACACTTATTAACATGGCTCAGTCCAGTGGCCAACGACTTCTTGGATCTGTGCCACGTTTTGTTTTCACAGCCAGTCTACCCCTACGTCACATAACATCGCTCGTTGAGACAGACAGTGGTTTGGCGTGTCCCAACCACTTCAACTAGTGAAGATCCACTACTTCTTCAATTTATTTACCATCCCTACCTAGCACCCTTTTCTTAATCCCAGAATTCCTTACTCGTTGGTCCCAGGATACATGGGCAACGCTTCGAAGACACCGATGATCGAATTCTAGCAACCTACTAAAATCCTCGCTTCTGACTGCCATGTTTCACATGGCGGAGCGAATCGCTGTACAGTAGATCCGTATTTTCGTTAACAGACAGATATCTCCGTACGGCATAAATTATGCAAGTTGGCGCTTCTAAAATACACTCAATATTGTTATTAGCATGCAGTTTCAGTGTCCAATTCTTCAGTTGTAAAGTTGAATATTTACATTTATTTCGTTGATGCTCTGCTTTTTACTATTAAAACTTAGTACTGATTATATCTTCAGTTAGGAAAAACCATTTACCATTTTTTACCTGAAGAAATAAAAAAGTTTTCAATTCTTCTTCTTTAATCTGGAATTTTTTTATCCATCAATCATCATTGTTACTTGAACTGGGAATCAACAACTTTTGGAATGATTGTCACCCTGGTTTGTCATTTTAAAAAAGCATCCAACTTTATTGAGCTCATAGATAGACATGTTTTCCCTACTAATAAGTGACGTAAAATATTTTATCTAATATCTTCTCAGAGCTTCAAATAAAATCCGATGATTTTAAATGATAACAGTGTAAATTTCATAAATATTTTATACGTTCGATGCAGATCTGTTAATTTTTAAAATTTTTTATAAGCTCCTTATCTGTTTCTGCATCAATCCACAAAACTTTCCAAAGTATTATCTCATACGTTTTTGATCATATCCATTAAACAAGTTTTTGTATATTTAGTTTAGCTACTTACTAAGAAAAAGTAGCACAACGTGCATTTATCAATTCGTGCAAAACACTTAAATTTATTATGTTGTATCTAAGCCGACTTAGTAGGTTTTTTTCTAATTTTTCTCAATAAACTGGGAACAAGGTTCTTTAAAACGCAAAATCTGAATTTACGATACGAAATAAAATAAGAGTTCACAAATACATGAATCACTTTTGTGCATTTAACATAGGAATTTGGATTATAAGTCATATAAAATCGTAAAAAATTCAATAGGTTATACTGGGTAGGAGAAATTATGACATAGTTGTTGCTAATCGTAACGACTGTAGGAGCAGAGGTTATGTAATATATGAAATAATATTGAAATGAGATTGTCACAAATGATAAGTATTGGATAAGTTGTTTAAATCTACAAGAAAAGAAATAATTAAATCGGATAAACTTCATAGCTTACACATCACTGATTGATTGGTCATAGACAGCCAATCAAAACCATAGAACTATCCAGCCTTCAATCCTTGCCGACTTTCGCTGGATGTCTAAGATCATCTTGTGATGTAAGTTATAAAATTTAACAATCCTCATAAAACCTTCTCCTTAAGTAACAATAAATTCAAGTCGTGAAAATGTTAAACGGTCAAGGTATTGGTCATTAAACCTATTAAGTCACAATATAAACGTGACTAATGCTTTGTAGAACCAAGAAATTACAGGAGAAGAAATGGAACCTGTTTGTTCTATGTTCAGCTCTAGTTCTATAATTAATATTAAACTCATCCTTTCAATAAAAATCTTAACAGCACTATAATGAAAAATCACAAAAACGTGCTCACTAGTGACTACCTTCGTGAGGATGTTCTCAGAGTTCTAGTGAGAAGTCGTGATCAGTATGGTTCAATCATGTTGGGGGAATG